TAAGCAATAAAAAATTAATAAAAAAATAAAAAGAACAGTTACGCTTTCAAGCTTCGCTAACGCCTTCATTGCTTTTTTGTGTTATCCGAAGTACGAGTTAAAACATTAAAAAAAAAAAGCAATGTTACTCTATTCTTTTGCCTTAAATAACTAAAATTAAAATCAGGGCAATTTGACGGTTGCCCCCGGAGGGCCGTGCAGGCGTCAAATTAGCGGAGCGGCACCTGATTTTATCAGACAAGTAGGTGGGTCTCCTCACGTGACACATGGGGACAAGGGGACCCCGCCATGGGAACGGCCGTCTGCTTATATTATTCCGCGTAATGTTGAAAACAAATGGTAAAACTCACATTATATGCTTTGCGGCATACCAATTAAAAAAAATGACACGCTTCCCGCTTTCGTTAAAAAATTATTAAAACGTAAAAATTTCTTGTAAACTCTCGTTAGCCTTAGTGTAACCACGTCATGAACTGATTGTTCCTGCTGAGGCACCTCTTGTTGCCTTCCAGCACCTCGCTCTCGTGGACGTAGTTAACGATATTCAGGGCGGGAGCCTGATTTCCCTTGACGCCGAGGGCGTCCTTGAGGGACGCGATGATCATGTCGCTCAGGGGTCCTTGCCCTCGATACGTATTCGGGGTACGTCCGGCCCGCGCTTGGACAGGCCACGCCTTGTATCACGATACAGGGCCGGGGGCCTGGTGATAGCGGCATTGTACAGGGGATTTCCTTATATAGCCGGCCCTTACCGATAGCTTTGGCTATAGGAGGGGCATTAATGTATTCGTATCCTACTCGATACCTACCTTGTTCACTGGGCTATGTTTGGTACACTGGGTAGGTTGTGCTTACCAGGCCGGCCTTGCTTATTACCTTAGCATACCAATTTTTTAATATAAATTGGGTTTAATAAAGGGAAACGAAATAGGAAAAAGAAAAGGGGGAAAAGAAAAATAAGTTAAAAAGGAAAAGAAAAAAGAAAATAAACCTTTAATTTTAACAAATATGGTTTTATATATATATATATATATACTTAAAGTGGTAACCAACGCGGCTCGACAGGCTGTTGCTAACTTACGGTTCTAGCTGAAGTGGAAATATAACCAACTAATTTCATACTCCAATAGTGGCCCAGCCGCTGTCCGGGTTATAAGCTTCTTTATCATGTAAAATAATAATAAAATGGCGAGATAGGTATACATGTCCAGGGGCTGCATGGCTTACGCCCTCGGCCATTTGGGGATCGCAGTAAGTTGGATTACTTCCTTTTTTTTCAGCCAGATCTGCAACGAGAAAGTCACTCTGTAGCCTCAAATGGAACAAAAAAACAACTGTCGAGGCAACATCGAAAATGCAAACATTACTACAGGCACAAATACATTCCTCGTAATCATCACAGCGCAATCTGTCCTCCCCACTACCTGGCCGCCGTCCCGCCTGAGTACTGGATGGAGAAGGGCACCGTTTCGACGACATCCCAGTCGCCGGGGACCGACTCGTCGCCAGAGATGCGCAGCGCACTGGCCACCATCTTGTATGAGCCCGCGGGCAGTATGGAGCCGTCGTTGAGCAGGCCCGATAGGTAGGCGCGCTGAGAGAAGTTGGCGATGAAGCGGAGCGGCGCGCCGGCCACCTCGCCGACGCAGGCCACGCCCGTCGGCGTCCTGGCCCTGTTGCGCGCCGGGTCCGACAGCGACGCCACGTGCACGTGCAGCACGCGCGTGCCCAGCCCCATGGTCAGAAGCATGTTGGGGAACCTGCCGTCGTCGTTGCGCTGGCTCGGCTGGTTCTTGGGGTCCGGCGGCGGCAGCGTGTAGCTCGTGTTGGCGGGGACGGGCGAGCCGAAGTTGGCGAGGTACGAGGCGCCCGCAAGCAGCACCGGCTTGTCGTGGATGCTGCCGACCACGCCCAGGTATGGCATGACGAGGTACTCGGCGCGCGTGCTGTTGACGCTGACGTAACCGCTGTAGACGGGCAGACGCGAGGCGTTGGGGCCCTCGCGCGCCGCCGGCGGCGCCACCGTCACCTTGACCTTGGCGGAGCCGCCGGCTGGGACGGTGACGGTCTCGGGGAAAAAGGTGAGCTCGGCCCACGCGCCGTCGGCGATGGGGTTGGGGACGCCGGCGGGCAGGTCGCCGGCCGGGGTCGAGACGGTGGTGTACATGGTCAGGCTCCGAAGGTGGCCGACCTCGTAGGTCGCCTCCTCCGGCCCGACGTTCTGGATGGTGAACTCGTGGTCGGGGACGAAGTGGGCCGAGTCATTGAGCGCGATGTTGCGCCTGTCGAGCACTGTCTTGGCGAAGACGGCGTCGTAGGCCTGCACCAGGCCCGCGCCGCCCTGCGCGGGGGGCGCGAGGGTGCCGGGACTGGCCTTCTTGCCGTCGAACCAGGTCAGGGGCTTGGCGGTGGAGGACATGATGCGGCCGAAGAGGTCGCCATCCAGCTTCCCGCCCCTCGCCTCGCCCATGAGCGCCACCAGGCCCGCCACCAGGGGGCTGGCCATGGACGTGCCGCTCATGACGCGGTAGCTCCCCATGACCACGGGGTACAAGGACAGGATGTGGCCGCCCGGCGCGGCGACGTGGGGGTACGGCTCCAGGTCCCAGTTGGGGCCCCAGGAGGTGAAGCTCGAGGCATAGCCGCCCGTCTCGTTGTCTTCGAGCTCCAGGAGCATGTTCTCGGGAGCATCGGCCTTCTTGGGGATGGTTACGTTGACCTGAAAGCCGCGGCTCAGCATCTCGATCCAAGCGGCGCCCTGGGCGGGGGAAACCGAAGTCACGCCCTTGATGCCGTCCACGTAGACGAACTGGGCATCCCAGGTGCTAGTGCAACGTCAGTAACCAGTTACAGATGGCGGGACAATTTTCAAGGTAGAGCTTACTTGTTGGAGAAGGCGTAGTAGGCGATGTATTTACCACCCTTCGCCAGGATATTCTTTCCCTGATCTTGGGGGAAGCACTTGCGGGTCCCGGGCACGCGCAGCAGCACGAGCTTGTTGGAGAGATCGGGCGTGCTGTCGGGGAGGGGGCTACACGCGTCGTTTTCAGACGTGGTGTCGTTCCCGATGGACCAAAGCGGCAGCGTCACCGTCTCCTCCGGCCAAGGCGACCCGGCGTAGAAGCCATAGGACTCGCCGGTGGCGGACTGGTTGCGGCTTCTGCTGCTGCCGGCATCTGTCCGGTAGGTGCCGCGCGACACAAAGCCGGGGTTCATGCGGTTTTGCACGGACGCGACGGTCTGCACGCCCCTGCCGCTCGCGGGGGTCGAGGCGCTGAAGAGGCCGCGGCCGCCCGAGTTGCCGGCCGAGATGATGACGGGCACGCCCGTCTGGGCGATGCGGCCGGCCACGTGGGCCCACGGCTCGTCCTCCCAGCCGCCGTTGTCGTAGATGCCGTTGGAGCACTGCAGGATGTCGGCGCCGTCCTCGTAGGCGCGCACGAAGGCGGCCACCAGGATCTCGTTGGACCCGGAGCTCGCGCAGTTCCAGGTCCGGTACGCCCAGAGCTTGACGTCCGGGGCCGCGCCCGTGAAGCCGTACTTGTTGCCCTTGGCCTGCGCCGCGATGGTGCCGGCCACGTGCGTGCCGTGGCCGTGGCAGCCGTCGTAGGGGTCGGCGTCGGGCTGGGGCTCGCCGCCGGCGGGCGGGTCGCCGACGAAGTCCCAGCCGCCCTCCACGAGGCAGCCGGGGCCGAAGCAGCCGCCCAGCGCCGGGTGCGTATAGTCGATGCCCGAGTCCATCATGGCGATCTTGAAGCCCTTGCCGGTGATGTTCTTGGCGTGCAGCTTGTCGATCTGCGTCATCAGATGCGGCATGAAGTGGTCGCCCGACAGTTTCGGGTCGACATCGAGGGGGGCGTCCTGCCGTCTCCGCAGCCCTGGAGCGTGTGCCGGGGCGGTGTGGTTGGCGACATCCTCGGTCTTGGGGATATTCAGGGTCACCTTGCGCACCGGCCAAACCCTCCTGACGGCGGGGGTGGCGGCAATGAGGTTCATGAGCTTGGCGTCGTCGAGGCCTGCCGCGTCCAGGACCTTGAAGGAGGCGCCGTTGAAGATCTTTGAGCTGCCCAGGGTCATGCGCTGCTTGGTCTTGATCCCGTGCGTGCTCGAGAGGGCCTGGTAGAAGTCGGCCATCTTGCCGTCGGTCTCGAGCTCCACGATGTAGGAGCCCTGGACCTGCAAGTCGGACGGGGCACCAGGGGCGGCAGCGACAGCCTGCGCGCTAACGCGCAGGGCTGCGAACAGCGCGTAGAAGATGCCGGATGCCCTCATCTTGTCGATCGTCGTGGCGACGTCACGATGGATGGCCAGCAGAGGTCCAACCTTCAACTGGCACGCGGTCTAGTCCGTATAAGTACCCCTTTGGGAGGCCCTGGCCGTGTCCCCCCTGAAATGATCTCCATATCCGTCAATACGAGCTTTTCCATGCCGCCAAGCGGGGAAGGTTGTATTTTGTGGGTGATATCCCGTCTGCCCTGGCATTTGCAGATCGAGCTGGGGTCAGGTGGAGACGGACGCATGACGCCTAATTTCCATCTCGGCCCTCGACATCATGATGCCAAAGTTGTCCGGATATCACGGAAGATGGTCCAAGGCGAACTGCATGGTATATGACATCGCATGTGCCCCGTAGGGCTGACAGCAACCCCTGCCCGGAACATTGGCGACGTTGGAAATATCGTGCCATCGCTGGTGGTGCTTCATTCGAGCCGGGCGGGCGAGGCACATGTTGGAATGGAGAATAGCCTGCATGACACGAGGACATTGGCGCGGAGCTTAAAGTAAGCGACTCCTGATCGTCAGAAAACCCGCCTCGGCACGACGCGCCTCCCGAACCATTGGGTGCCGGCACACCGGGGCTCCCGCGTCGTCTGTGTTCTTTTCTGGGACAATGAGTAAGGTGATGTTCGAGAATGGATTATATTGGTTTGTTGCTGCTTGGGTTGTTCGTCAAGTAATACCCAAGATTCCCCTGCTCCGCAAAACACCACCCCCAATCCCCCTTTTCACAACGATGCCTCTGACTGAGGACGACCGCAAAGCGACTGGTCGCCGAGCAATAAGAATACCTATCATCCAACTGGACATCCGGCGTAGAGGCGGCTTGAGCCGAATCCGCCGCCAGCTCGGCGTCCCACCCATGCACGCGTAGCAGCCGTCGACGAGCAGGCCGCTGCGGGCGGCGCGGTCCACGTCGCGCTCGCTCTACTGGCAGACCCACTGGCCTTCGAGATAGTAGTTCTGCACGAGGCCGTCCAAGTTCCACTTCCACTCGCCGCCACCGCGGCCGCGCTTGACGCACTGGCTCATGATGTTCTGGAAGGCCTCCTATTTTCCGATACCGCACATCATTGGTCAGTGCTGTTCGACGTACCTCCGCCCGTCTCTCTCCATCGCACTGGGGCTTGTATCTGAAAGAGAGAGAAAAACACAGGGAAGCATACCTCGCACTTGTCGCGCCTGCCCGAGGAGCCCTCGAACCTGGCTGTGGTCCAGACGCAGCAGTTGCCCTCGCAGTCGGTCTTGGTCCGGACATTGACGCCGCCGTTGCAGACGCCCTTGTAGGCGGTCGTGTAGCGGAAGTCGCTGCCCTGGCGGCCGCCTCCGTAGCAGTCGGCGGCCATGGCGGCGGGGGTCAGGGCCGCGACGGCGGCGAGGATGACGCTGAAGGACTTCATCTTGGCGGTAGGAGGGCTGGGAGAGACTCTGAGTCGAGGATTGGCGTCAAAAGTACTGCGAGTCCTGTCGAGATTGTCCTAAGTGGCCGAGGTGGGTGAGGATCTCTCTTTTTCGCTCCCCAAGATGGCGGAGGTAGCCCATCTTTATACCCGTAGGCATGCTTTCTTCATCGAGCTGCCTGTGTTGTCGACGACCTCAGGGGCCGAGAGCTGCTCCATTCACGCTCCTGTTCTCGTTGCCTGACGTTCCCGGTTCCGAGGGAGCCTCTCGCCGCTGCTCGCCGCTGTGGGGCCTCATCCCTAACCTAGTAGCCCTCGCCGCCTCTCGCCGAGCCGGGTCCAGAGCACCATGGAACACCATGCTCCTCCAGGCACCAGCAATCCACTTCGGGACCTACCCCTGCGCATACCCGCTCCCGAAGCGCAAAGCTACATACCCTCCGAATCTAGAAGGTCGACATGCCGCCATCTCGACAGCCAAACTGGGCTGTTAGCAACGGGACCCCACAAATACAGTTACTTTTTTTTGGCCTCATAAATGCTTGGTTCGACCTCTTTTCCTTCCATTCTTCCTTTCCCGACCCCGCGGCTGAGCACCGAGAGGCATTCTAATTCGTGGAGGAATACTCTCGACCGGTGCCATTCCGGTGCCAAAATTTTACCTAAAATCGCATACGGGTCCCCGGCCGAACGAGCTGCTTCCGGCTCGTTCACAGCGGGCGAAACCCGGCTCGCCTACACTCAGCACCTTCACCACGACTGGGGAGGGATTGGCAAGCGTGACTCGATGTCCCACGCCGCCGCACCGAAGGTCCTGTGGCTGGTGCTAAGCTCGCGACAGCCTCAAATGCGGAATATGCTTTTCCTTCTGCTCCCAGTGCTTTCCAGAATGCCTCGCAGTCGCCCCCTGGCGGAGAAGAAGCTGGGATGGTATTTTTCCGTCTCCAAGCTTTTCCACTGCCGGCTACTTGGATCGGCGAGGCGCCGGTGAGGCACGAGCCCTTGACCGCTCAACCATTGGGAAACGGCTTCTGTTTTGCACTTCATCCGTCGCTCGCCGAGCTTTAGGCAGCCCGCTTTTTTTGCTGTTAGTGACCCAAAATGTGGAACCGCGCATACTTTCCTGACTCGACCACACTAGCCGAGCTAAATCGCCACTTAATCAGCACTACCGGGCGTGATGCCACTAATTAGCCAAAGCTGCGTAGACACCACATAGCCCATAGGAAAGATCCTGAGCCAGCCCGTTTATCCTGTTACCTGATGAAGGCCAGACTGGTGTCGCATTAGTGCCACGGACTGCGGCTTGAGAGAATATCCCTGGGCTACCTCGTTCCCTATACAGCAAGAACCTGTCTCTCAGAAGAGACTGCTCTTTAGCCTCTTTCCTCCCTCTGCTATTCATCTCACAAGAAACATCCTCGTCGTCACCTGTCGGCGATAAGCCATTCGCCTAATCCATTAGCCTAACCCCATCATACCATCAAAACTTTTGTTCGTTGTTTGGGATCAAGGATAGCAGTGCGTCTGCCTACATTAGCGCCCGGTCAAGTTCGAACCAGCTGCTAAGTTAGTGCACCCCCTGTCGGCGCACCCCCCCTGTTCGCGCACTTTGTAAGGATCCGATCTACACCAAACCTATTACATTCAATTGCAAATTTCTACCTCTATTCAAGCCACCTCGATGCAAAACAAAGTTAACTCCTGTTCAGAATCGTCCGGGCTTTTAAACGCATTATTTACCTTTTCCAAATTTTCCCCTTTCGTTGCAGCAATTTGGCGGATACCCACAAAAGCTTCGTTGGAATTAAAAGCTACCTTTTTTTTTTGCAAAGCTTTTATGCTTTTAATTAAATTTTTAACCGCTTAATTTTTTGCTAAGCGATAGCTAAATCGTATTTTTGCGCTTTGTAGCTTTTTTATAGCTTTTTAAGAAAAAGCCGTATTGTAAAGCTTGCAAAAATCCGGGCTTTAATAAAGCTAATTTAAATGGTTAATTTTTTTAATCGTTTAAAAGTTTTTTATAATATTTAAAATGTTTGGAAAAGGATCGTTAAACGTTATTTGGCTTTATTATTTTTTATAGCTTATTAAATTCCGAATTGTTAATTATTTAAACCAAAATTATTAAGCACAAAGCGGTTTATAAAAGGTTTGGTTATATTGCAAAGCTAAAGCCCGGCCGCCCGTTACTTTATTTTTATATTAAAAGCAATAAATGCTTGTAATCGTGCGTAAGCATAAACCGTTAAAAATTAACTTTTTTTTATTATTATTAAGCAAATAAATAAAGCTTGGAACCTGATTTTTTAACGGTAAGCTTATTTAAAAGGGCTAAAAATCGATAAATCGAAAGGTTACAGTACGTACAAAGTATAAACGGGCAAATATAATAAAAAAACGTTGCTTTATAAGCAAAAAAATATAAACTTTTTGGTTACGTACGATCCGTGCCCATTTAAAATTAGGAAACGGGGCTTAAAAGTAAAAGGTTGGGTGCGTAAAAGGAACACTTTTTGCAGCCATTTAAAGCTTGTAAAATCCGTAATCCAGCCGTTATTTATAGCAATAAATTTCCACTTTTAAAAAAGGCCCAAATTTGCAAAAAATTATTGCTTTTGTACGCTTTTTCCTTTAAAAATAATAAAAGGAAGCAGCGATACCTTTGTAACCGAAATGCACTTAATAAACGAGGTTTACGTGCGAAATTTAAGCTTTTTGCGCTGTAAAAGCCAAGTGCTAATAAGGTTTAAAACAAGCCCGTTACCGGTTTTACCTTTTTGCAAGCCTTTTTTGTCGGCGTTATACGTATTTTCTGGCTTAATCCAGGTTATTTCCGGTATTTGCAAGCGTTGCTACCATTTCGTTATCGTTGCAATAATAACCTTTTAAACGCGTGCATTTTTTATGCGCTTTGCTTTTCCGGTTCAGATTTTCGGATATCGGTTTAAAAAGGCATAAATCCAATGCTTCCCGAAAAGTTAAAGGTTACCTTTAAAACAAAAGATTTTTTTTGCAAAAAACCGGATTTCCGCGTGCGTTAATGGGAAGCTTAAAAAGGTTTGTAATAAAATTTAATTAATTAAGCGTTTTTTTGCTTAAAATGTACCCGTTAATATTGCTTTTGTAATTGCCGGATAAATAAAGCGATTTTTATATAACTTTTAAAGGTTAACTTTGGTATCTTATAAAGCCGGGAAGCCCTTTGGATCCCGCTTTTCGTTCGTACCGCGGCGAAAGCTTGCTTAACGTTTTTTTTTGTATATTGCTTTTCCAGTATTTGGGCATTAAATTGCAGCAAAAAGTAAGGAAAACGGATTAAAATTAACGAAAATATAAAGGCGGGAGTACTTTAGAAGATTCCATGCTGTGGGCCTACAAAGTGCGCGAACAGGGGGGTGCGCCGACAGGGGGTGCATTAACTTAATAACCGTACTGATTATATTGGACAGTGACTACAGACAAAGCAGACAGACAATGAAGACAGACATATGTTGCTGTAAACGTCCGAGCTAATTGGTTTTTGCAGCTGTTTCCGTCGACTAACTGTAACACATGCACCCCCGAATAGTCATTGTACAAAGCTTAACAAATAATATCTCCATCTTGTATCTTTGTGTTGCCCTTCCAGGACTCGGGCCCGAGCTTTAACGGCTGTACTTACCTTAGAAAGCTGTTATGAAGCTGCATGTCATATCTCACATTGCGAAGCAACTTTACCCATGCTTTGCTCTGGCCTCGCTCCACTACCCTCTGCGGTAAGGTAAAGAAGATCGAGATTGTCATTGGGAACGCAAAAAGTCCACTAGCTAGTCCCTTTCGGGATACCCCACCCAACGGCCTCCTTTCCCATGCTTATTCCCGGTGCTGTGTTCGCTTGTGCTTGTGGACGTAGTCCGGCCTTTTGAACGAGTCGCCGCAAATATCACATGTGAATTCCTCGGGTGTGTCTGCAGCATCCGGAATGTTCCTTTCCGCCCAGCCCTTGTGGTGGTTCATGACGTGACGCCTCACGTATTTCTGCTCGGCGCCCCTATATCCACAAGTTGTGTAAAAGGGGCATAGAACAGGCTTGTAGTGGGTTTTCATGTGTTTTCTTAACCGGCCCAGCCCAAGGCTTTGTTAGCAAGGTGAAGGTAATGTATTTGTAGCACGTTTTGAAGTTCTGTCGACTTCGGACAGAAGCTCTGGTTGGTATAAAGGCTCACCTTATGGTTGTCGGGATATCGAATGGCTTCCCAGCCGACGTGCAGTCCCCCACGTCGCAGTAGTACTTGTTGTCAGCGTGGAGCAGCCAGCTGAAGTCCTCAGGCATGGCCTCGACCTGGAACTGGCCCTCGTAGGCCGGCTCCGCTGGTCCGGCTGCACCAGCGCTGGTGTCAAAGCCAACCTGGCTTTGGGCGGCGTGGGGCGACACCGCCAGCTCATAGCCGTAGGGCTGCTGCTGCTGGTCGGCACTCTAAAAAGTGCCGGCCGTGTCCTGGTCTTGCTGCGGCTGGGTAGCTTGCGCGTAAGCGAGGGTGCTTGCGCCCGTCGCCCACGAGGCATCAGGGGCCGAAACGGAGGGGACGACGGAGCCGTCGTTGTCGGTGTATGCTGCCTCGTAGGTGTATTCCTCTCCCTGCTGTGCCTCCTCGTCGTAAGGAGGACCAGGGCCCGTGTCATGGTCGTGTCCTTGGTAGTGGTCGTCCTCGCCGAGCTGGTCAGACATGTGTGAGACGGAGGGGGCTGTTCGGAGAAGGTGACTGGAGATGCTGGCCTTTTCGAGTGATCAAGCTATACTTGGAGAAGGTTGGAAAAGAGCCTGGAGATCTCTCTCATCAAGCTAATTGCACCAGAACAATGAGCCGCTTTTATGCCCCAGATCCGCCCGTTCCTATCCCCTCCGGCGCCTTCATCGTGGGTTGGATGCCTGCCTGGAAGCAAGAAGGCCTCATTCTTGGATGGAACAAACCACGGGGATGAGGATGTGAGGCTATCTATTGGTGCGGTGCCTTGGCCTCATTGCGTTATCCCTCCTTCGCCCTTTTTCCATTTTGTTCTTCTACCCCGTGGGAGAGTCCTGTCGTCCAGGGCAGACACGGTGCCGCAAGGTCCTGGACAGTCAGGGAAACACAGTATTAATTCATTAGCATACAGCCGGTGTGATTTCTCCCCAACTGGGCGCAAGGAGGCACCAGGGCACGGAAATGGTGGGCTGGTGGGCCCCCGACAGGACGTGCTGGTGCATGAGACGCACTCCCGTTGGCTGCCCGCCTGCGAAGTGTGCTGGATTGAGGCCCGCGCCCGCACCAGCGCTAGACGTCCTCTGCGCCGTGGCCGGGCGGGCACATTGGCGCAACTGCGCAGCCGCTGGCCAAGCGCATCAGGCTGTCTCGAAGCCAACGATATCCCACTGAGGCCGGATCGGGCCTCCAAGGAGGCGCGTTCGGGAGGCCAGGCTGGGGAGCCCGAGGGAGGCCCGAAATGTAACCCTCCACACCCACCACAAAGAAAATGGCAGTTTTACAAATCTTGGGAAGGAGAATGGTTAATGCCATGGGCTTTCCTATTCCTATCCCTGCTCTTGAAATCCTAATCGCCTTTCTGTTGTTGATGTTGTTGAGGGAGGTGGGACTGCCATCTTCTTTATGGTGGGCGTGCCCCCCACGTTACCCCACACCAGTCCTAGAATGACCCGACTGGATGTTTTTCAGCAAGATGGCGGGCGGTGGAAACCATGGAAAGTTGCGGGGCAGCAGGGCGATTTAGACATCCGCAGCCCCGCATCGTCCGGGAGCCCAGGACGACGACGGCTGGCCGCCACCGATGCTATATTGTCAGGGTCAGACGCGGATATAGGCAGCGATGGTATAATGCTGTGTGGAGGACGGGGACAGAGACTGCCCGTCGCTTAGTCGCAGTTTCCCACCATCTTGCACCACAGTCGCCTCGTTTATGCCATCTTCGTATGGTGTTCGTGCCGTTGTCTGTTCCATCGACCCCCGCTTCCACCCGGACCCTTTCCAGAGATATAGACACGATTTCTACCCAGGCCCGCTGTATAAACGCCAGGTGTAGCAGTGCCGACTCGCATCGATTCTGCCCGTGCTTTGTCAGTTCCCAAAGCCCAGCTCCACACCCGCCATGGCAAAACCACCCCGCACCAGAGCCGCCTCCAGTACCGCAACCCCCTCGAGGTTACGCAGCCAAGAGCCGAAACAGAGCGGGGAAAGGAGAGATCGGGGCCGCTGTGTTGCAACCATCCAGTCGATTGGGCGATGATACCCCGCTTCGTGACGAGACCGCCGATCATCAGTATATCAGGCAGAGCTGCTCATCCGCTCAATCATCGGCAACCGCACGCCGTTGATCTCTTGAAGGAAGAGAAAGCTGGGCTGCAAACAAAACACTGCAAACAATAATGACTCCTACACGCACAACGGAAAACAAGCCGGCCCCAGACGCGGTCGCCGGCTCCAAGAGCTCCGACCTGCCGAGCCGGCCCAAGGACGCGTCGGTCCTCACGGCCAGGGACAGGGACGAGCTCGCCTTCACCGACAAGTTCGGCTCTCCCGACGTCTACATCGACGGGAAGAAGGACACGCTCTGGCACCCGTGGATCGGCACGCTCGAGCTCAGGCCGCTCCGGTTCGAGACGCGGTCGGGCACCTTCGTCATCGGCCTCCGGACGCCCGTCGACTGCTGGCTGGGCAAGCACCGGCACCGGGGCACCGTGACGGCCGTGACTGTGGCCGGCCAGTGGCGGTACAAGGAGTGCGTGGCGTCGTTCCCCGGCGGAAAAAAAGGGTTCGAAGTTAAAGAGATAGGCTGACGAACGTGCCAAAAAAAAAAAGATACGATTGGGTGGCCAGCGTTGGCGATTACGTGGTGGAGAACCCGGGCACGATCCACACCCTCTTCATGAGCGCCGGTGCCGAGGTCGTCTTCACCATCACAGGGAGTCTCGAGTTCTTCAACGACGACGACAGCCTGCGCGAAACCATGGACTGCTTCAGCTTCGCGAAGCGTTACCACGATCACTGTAAGGAGAATGGCATTGAGCCCAACGCCAAGCTATGGTATTAGGCACTTTTGAGGTCGGACGCACTCGGGGCATTTTGCGAAAATTGGACAGGGTTGGGGAATCGGTGGCAAGGCCTTTGCGTGCCCATGTTATGGAATGTCAGCGAACAGGTGGTATTATTTTATAAGGTGGTTTTAGGGTGGTGTGAGGATGGTTTGAGGGTGGTTGGTTCTGGACTCCCGTTTTTCCAATCGATCTAATAAGTATATATCAAGACAAAACCCAGCCTCGGCCGACTTCCAAGGCCGCGACTCCTGGTCGGTTGGTAATATTCCGGGAATTTCCCTGACGTGGCCGAGACAGACCGCACGTCGCGCCACAAAACGAAGCCTCGCAACCCAAGGAGGAGCAGCATCCCATCCATCCCTCGCACCCGGCCCCAGGAACGCGATCAGTGCTTGCTGAGGTTGTAGATCTTCATAACATCTGACAGCATGCCCTGGTGGTCGACCTTGAGGTCCTTGAGGATCCCGTCCTTGAAGCCAAAGACCCAGCCGTGGACGATAGGGAAGCGTTTGGCCTCGTACGACTGCTGGACGGCGGCCGTCTTGATGACGTTGCGGCACTGCTCCATGACGTTGAGCTCGACCAGGCGGCCGTAGCGCGCGTCCTCGTCCTCGATGGCGTCCAGCTCGGCCTCGAACAGGCGGTAGACGTCGCGGATGTTGCGCAGCCAGGGGTTGAGGATGCCCATGTCCTTGGGCTGCATGGCGGCCTTGACGCCGCCGCAGCCATAGTGGCCGCACACGACGATGTGCTTGACCTCGAGGTTCTGTACCGCGTAGTTGATGACGCTCATAACGTTGAGGTCGATGCTGCACACCAGGTTGGCGATGTTGCGGTGGATGAAGGCCTCGCCGGGTCCCAGGCCCGTGATCTGCTCGGCCGGGATGCGCGAGTCGGAGCAACCGATCCAGAGGTACTCGGGCCTCTGGCCCGCCGCGAGCTTGAGGAAGAAGTCCGGGTCCTTCTGGCGCTGCTCCGCCGCCCACGTGCGGTTGTGCTGGAAGACACGGTCGTGCGTCTGCTGGAGGTAGTCGGCGATCTCCTCGCGCTGCTCGTCGGCCATTGTGGCGGCGCGGGGCGTGGTGCTGCTGCTGTCGGGGAGGGATGCGCTGCTGGTGGGGTCCGCGTGCCTGGGGGGCGGGGCCGATGACTGTTGGGACGGTGCTGGCCTGGACGGGGACGCAGAAAAAAACCGGTGTGGGGGACCAGAGGCAGCAGCAGCAGCAAAATTTGGCGGGCGGGAAAACACGATGGCGGGAGACGGTCGCGTCAACCGGGGAAGGCACTGCCAGCCCAACCTCGGGCGGGGGAATCCCAATTTAAACATGGCAGCTGCAGGTCTCGGAGAGAGCCGGGGAAATGGGCAAGGAAGGAGGTGGTGGCACGAGTGGGAAAATCCAAACGCCAAGGGGTGTGTTCGTGTCCATGAGAATCACAAATCCCGCATGCGCTGGAATGCAGGATGGGATGGGACAAAGGAAAAACCCGACGTCACACGCATGCGAATCGTTGGGGGAATCCCATCCATGGCTGCAGGCACGCAGCTCCCGCCAGTGCAGCATGACGCTAACCTGTCTTGGAGCCAAGTCCTCTCAAGGGGGCTCGGCGCGAGTCAATATTGGACGGGGATGGCAGCCGGGACGGATTACTACCGATAAGTAGGGCGGCCAAGGCATTGTGCGACTATCGCCTCTGTCTGGCAGCTGGTGTTGAGCCGTTGTTTGACAAAAGTGCGCTTGCTTTTGGAGCTAAGGAAATGGAGCAAATTGACCTACAGTGACACCCCGATGCCATCGAACTAAGAGACAAGCTCCAAGACCAATCAAGTAGCTCGGCCAACACAGCTCGACCAGGTCTCCGAGGGACTCCGAGGGGTTGTGCGGGATGTAAAGCCAATATGCGCGGGACCTGCAGTGCCAAGTTGTCCAAGCAGGATATGTCCTCCACCGGAACTCCGGAGACCTCGGAGGTGTCGGACAAGATTGGGCTCCGGCTCAACACCGAACCAAGAGCGAGGAAGCGACAATAGGCGAGTTTGGTGTGCTGCAATAAAAAAGCAAGTAGAATCATCTTCACAATGCTGCTCCCGGCGAGGCACAGGCGCTCCGTGTCGGTTCGATTTTGAATCGAGGGTCTGCCAACTGGCCGCGGAGCCCGCAGGTGACGGACCCCGCCGCGGAGGCTTTCGGCGGACAACCCGGGGTAGAGCGGCACGAGCTAAGCGCGATGCTAGCATGCATGTGCGCGAACCGCGGCATGCCAACCATCGGACGGGTGCTTTAGAACACATAGATTTAAGCACACATTAGGAAACGATAGTGGGCTGACGCGGGGGACAGGGCCAGACACATATCTTTGCCGCTCCCCGGACATAGTCGCGCGTGTCGTGCCAATGCCGATGTCTTTTGTACATGACGTAGTCACGGAGCTGAAGGGCCTTAATGTACAGGAGAGTAGGGCGCCGCCACCTCGAAACCTAGCTCGAACTTGAGGCAGGTGCCGACTTTGGCGGCTTAAAGCTTTTTGGCGGTTTGTAGTTCGGTTCTGGCCTGTACTTGGGCGGAACGATCCCGACCTGTTGCGTTGTGGATTGCGAACTGTCAGCCCAGGGATAGCCTCGGATGCTGCCGCATGACGGCGTCGTCGACCACCAGCCGCGCGCCAGAGGCGACAACAAAGATGGGGAAGGAAGAGGTGCACGCACCATAGACAATAACCTCCACACCGTATCGGTGGGCTGCGCGCCGACACCGATCCAGTACTTTGCGCGCGTCATATCCAGCCTGATGTCCTTGTGCAGCTTGCGCGACGTGTCGTACGAGTCCGTCTTGGGGATGGGGTCGTAGGTCCCAATCACCTCCATGGGCTTGGAGTTGCGCGCGGTCCTGCAGAAACGAAGCAAGCAAAGCGATATCAGCCATGTATTTCCTTTTCCCCACTCTCCGTCGCCGTTTGGCAGTTGTCATGGCGTGGCTGCGCACCTTGCTTGAGCCACTACTATATTGAAGAAAGGCGCGTTGGTCCGCCCGAACCGGGCGAGGCGCATCTTGACGACCATGGCGGCGACGGTGTCGTGAGCCCCTGGGGGGGCGTGTGATGGAAAGCCCTGGTGGGCGCGAAGGCTTCGAGGCGGGGTGGTCAGCGCGGGGGCTCGAATCGGTCGGGAGAGGGCGATGGTCCTGAATCTCAAGGGGCGTTCTAAAGGCTTTCTGGATGCCTCGGCGCGCCGTTCTGTTTGTCGCCCGGCGAAGCCGTCTAGGCACCTTTTTCGTGAGGCTTTACAGCGAAATTTTAGGTGGGGCTCCAGCACTACAGCCTCGCTAAGTCGTCTAGGCTAGCGGCGGGGGCGAGTAATGGCACGTGATTATTTACGTAGCTTGTGATCCAGTGCGTTTCCCCACCCCCGCCAATCAGCGACAACAACCGCGGACGTTAGCGCCCGTCATTGTGAGGTCGTGCTTGTATTTTCGTCCCACTTTTGGGGCTTTCATTGGAGTGTGACGCACCCTGGACCCGACAAGAGCGTGCGTTGATGTCAAAGACAATGGGGAGATCCTATGACATGACCCTCCGCTCAGGAGCTGCCACCGCAAAACCTCCAAAACCACAACGAAAGGTCGCCTTTTTTTCAGGACCAAGGAACTTGCCCGTTCCCTTCCGTACTGTTTTACATTTCCACATTGAGCTGTTACAGCAACCTGCAGAATCACAATGACCCTCAAGGTAAGGGCAGGACCTTGATCCCGGCGCCCATCGCCATCCCATCGCCACCCCATCCCTGTCGGCAGCCTGCTGATATTGGCCTGTCCAGACGCTCTCGGCTAGGGCCGCCACCGCTCTGGACCAGGAGCTCATGAGCACCTGCGCCTTCTCGCTGGACCAGCTGATGGAGCTGGCCGGCCTCTCAGTGTCGCAAGCCGGTGCGTCCGAGCCCCCGTCTCTCGGATATAAGGCTGGGCTGTAGTGGCGGCCAATTCCCCCGCACCTGCCGGGAAGGCACCCGTTCTTTGGAACCAGACATATATGCATGTGCTGTCACCATTGCGTCCTGGTCGTGTCCGGAGGCCGGTGTAAGGGGCGGTAGGGCGGTGGTTCATCAACTCCACACCTGCGCCACTCCCTTCCCATTCCCCCTTCTCTGTCCTCCGTCAGCCAAACCATCAAGATGCCAACTGCTCCCACGTGTCCCATTCAGGCCGCACAAGATACAGACAACTCCTTTGCCGCAGCTCGGCTGACGACTTCGGCTCCAGTGTTCCGAGTGCACCCGCCTAGCAAGGGCCGGAGGGTCCTCATTGCATGTGGTCCAGGTAACAATGGTGAGTGCGCCGATCCCTCGAAATGTTGTCAGCACGATGAGGTTTGCAAAGTGGGAAACGCCCAGTCTTTGGCTCACGCGCCGGGCGCGGAAATAGGGGGTGACGGCCTTGTTGCCGCGAGGCACCTCCATCACTACGGGTACCAGCCGGCGATCTACTATCCAAAGCGCGGCAAGAATGAACTGTACCAAGTAAGTCCGCTCGTTGTGCGTCATACATTCCCTTCCGCTTGTTTTCCATCACAGCCCCTGCATCAAGGGCACCGATATCCAGCTCGGAATGGAGTCAAAATGGAAATGTTTTTGTTGCTTTGTTCTGTTTTGTCTTCTTTTTAGTCTCCTTTTTCTCAATGCGGTAGACCCTTGGCGGAGCATCCAGGGGTGCGCTTAGTGATTGGAGATGGTCCTATCCACCGAGAACTTGTCCGCCTCCGACAGCGTTTTCATGTGCATTATACTGTCCCCCAAGAGCGCGTCGTCCTGATCCTCAGCCGCACGTCACTTCTAAATCCTTGGTTGCTCCTTATCCACCACAAGCCGCTTATCGTTTACGCAGCGACTCACGAAGCAACTGGAGGACCTCGAGGTCCCTTTCGTCGACGACTTCCCGACTGCCCTGAAGTCGTCCGACCATGTCGTCGACGCCATCTTCGGTCAGTTTCCCTCTCTATACTCGACGTATCTCAACCACGTGGAGGAACGTCTGTGGTTGCGATTCCAGCGATGGTGGACGGCCATCTCTTCCTAGGTTGGTATTCGTTGTTGCTGACATTCCACCAAAAAAAACAACACCAAAATCAGGCTTCAGTTTCTCGGGCGAGGTCAGGGAGCCGTTCCCAGCCGTTATCCGCGCTCTCGAAGAGACCCAGGTGCCTGTCACGTCGGTCGACGCGCCATCGTCGTGGGATATAGAGAACGGTCCGCCAAAATCAGGGCTCGGGAGCAACTTCAACCCTGCTGTCCTCGTCAGCCTCACGGCCCCGAAGCCACTGGCGCAGCACTTCAGGGGCCGCCACTTTGTGGGAGGACGGTAGGTTCTCTGCACCTAATCTCTCTCGTCCCCGTCGCCGTCGCAGAACTTCGTCGTAGGGCTGGGTGTGTCGATGGCTGGTTTCGATGGCCTTGCGGTCGCCGCTCTTGTTGTCCAGTTTTTTGTTGTTTTTCGTCTAACAGCCGATCTAGCTTCGTCACGCCGGCCATCGCCAAAAAGTATGAGCTCGAGCTCCCAGAGTACGAAGGTCTCGACCAAGTCGCGGAGCTTGGGCCTGCGGGCCAGAAGCTCTGAGCACCATCTGTCGCCATCGTCATTCTTGTCGTAGTCGCCGGCACCAGCTTTTCGTCTCTACCGGGCTCCCACTCCTTTTGGCAGCTACGTTCTGTACACCGCAGGAGTAGGCCCTCGCCAGCCTGTGTCATATCACCTGGCATCCGCCGGTCCTGCTGTTGGGGCAGACTGGGCTCGGACATTTCCCAATCACCATCTCAGTGACCACGGCGTCGACGCCGCGGGGGCACACCAGGAGCGGAGGGTGGTGGTCGGAGCAGAATTCGATGAATACCATGTACTCTTTCCCGCAGACCAAGCATTCGGCCATGTGCTCAGTGCACATTAAAGCTTGCGGGAGACCCCTGGCGAAAGACCTCGGTTCGTTCGACAGCAGCACAGAGGCGTCGGGTTTCTTTTGCTATTGCGTGTTTATCGGTCGCTCGTTATGGTGTCTTTATTCTAGGTTCGGAGGTAACCTTTCTTAACTTGAAAGTAGATTGATGGGTTTATAAAAAAAAATTCTTGCTTTCGGGAATGGAAACGACGGCTTGCAGAGAAGCCAATAAAACAGCAAGCAAACAACACCCAATGGACCTCTTGGGCAAAGTGAAGGGGCGCCGGAGCTGAAGATATTTTGGAGGTGTGGCTGATAAATTCACTGCCGTCGCGTCGAGGAGAGATGTGGCGCGAGGTGGGAGGTTCAGGAACGATCACTCCGGGCTGGCTCCGCCCGCGGGAGCTTTGCTGCGGTGCCAGGGGGACAGCTTTGCAGCCACCCAGTCACCGTCCGTGGTGGCGTGCGGGAGCGGGTTTGTTTACTTTTTTTTCTTTTTCCTGTTCCCCTGGCTGCGGTCGGCTTTATTCACTGCAACCACGACACGTGCCAGTAGCGACGCGGCCCAGGGGGGTGGGCTGGATCAGGGTGACCGACCCTCCTGTTCCTTTCCGCTGGGCCTAGGGGGTGCGTGACGGGTGTACAGGGCAACCCAATGAAGAGGAAGCACAGCAGAGAGAGAAGGGACCCCTGGAAGGCCCGACTGTTTGCCACCCTGGGGGGTTAACTTTTGGTGAGGGCCAATAGATGTTAGAAAGCGCCAGCCCCGCAAGACGACGCCGTGGCAAGCTCGTTGCATTGTCGGTAGGTATGTGTGCAAGCGGCGTGGGATGGGCAGGGGCGGCGTCACCTTGGGAGCAAGCAAAACTAGGGGGCGGGCGTGGGCGTTAGATGGTCGTTGTCGGTTGGTAGGCCGGGTGGTGGCAGCGAGGGTTGGGGCGATTATGCGGCCGGCAGGACAGAGCACGAGTGTGCCGAGGTGGTGTCCCGTAGGTGTAGGTAGTATAGTGTATGCGTCGTGTTTGTGTCGTTCGGCCACGGCGAGATAGCTGGCTGACCTCACCCCCCGTCCTTGCAGCCTGTGCGTGCCACCTTCCCAAGATCACCCCTCCATTGCGTGCCCCTTTCTCTCCTTTTTTTCTTTTTCTACAGACGGGTGCACTTTCGCCCCCCTGCCGGACGGCCCCAAGGCGGGAGCTCGTCCACCAGCCGGGGAGGTCACCTCGGGGGAGGCTTGCCCCCGGAGCAAAAGCTCCTCGAGCACGCTGATTGGCGGGGCGGCTCCGGTTGGGGCTTCGCGCTAGCGTTCTAGATCAGGGCGACCACCCTCTCTCCACCTTTAACTGGCGGCGCCCACCTTCGCAGTCAAGCAACGACGACAGGAGCGCCTTCTGCCACCTCCAACCCCTTTGTACTACGTCTCGAGCCTCCCTCTTCTAGAAATGGCCGCGTCTTGCATTGCCATCCGGTGGAGGTTTGCGGCTTCGAGCTGATCCGAGTCCTGTTCAGTGCACTTCCTTTATCTCCCACGCCCACCACAGCGATGCCTAGCCATGGAATTCTGGATAAATTTCTATCAGGTCGGAGACGGAGCATCGGGAGACGCAGATTACATGGACACCTCCCAAGTTGCACGCCTGGAATCACCTGAATTCAATCATTGTGCAACGTCGTGGTCCTGCAGTGTCGGTGCTGGGACCCCATCACCAGAGCCTAGTTGACGCATCCCCGCAGTGGCTCCTGACGGACCACCAAGGTGTGGCTCGTCTCGACGCAAGCGTGTGCTGCTGAATATTCAGCAGGTGCCCGATTCAATTGCCTCACGGCTAAAGCTATGCGTTTGGAGATGGCCCTACATGGATGATCCATGGCGATTGGGAAAAAACGCAATTCTGGCCGAGAAATCAAGAGATTAAAGGCGGAGATGAGGGAAAAAAACACAGAAAAAAAGTGGGAGCAGGTGGATCCAAGGGCCGCTGAGAATCTCGACCACAACCCGCCGAGCGATCGGCCCTTCGAGGCGGCTGCTCGGCTGACAGTTCCGAAGGGCATACCGGATACCGGACTGGCCGGCAACGTGCCATAACATCGGTCGATTTCTTGGGCAAGATCGCGGTGTTCCCAGCATCTCGTGTCGCGAACACGATCCTTCACGGCCGCCTGGGCAAGAGAGGTGAGTGAGGTTGGCGGGATGCGAAGCGCCCACAGGAATTGTCCAACCACCAAAGGCAGTCGCAGTGTAACTGCGCTGTCCATGCTGGATACTGGCCCACAGACTCAACCCTGCTAGGACCAACCCGACTTTTCAACCACAAGAGACAAGAGAAGTTAGATCTCGAGTCGAGGCTGTCGACGTCACATCTGGAGGCTCGGCAAGGTCCAGTCAGCCGAAGCCTCAACGGGGCCTCTTGGGCAAGTCCATGGCCGGCCCAACCTTGCCCACTAGCGCACCGCTCCCGGCCTCGCGACGGCGGGGCAGGGTCCCCCAAGGCCCCGGGCTCTGGGAGCGTGCACCCCCCTCATCGCCCTGCTTTGCCTCCCTTCGGACACCGTTGGCCCCTCGGAGCCAAGACGAACACGCTATCGGGAGGGGTCCGACATAACGTCGATGGCCCCTCCACCGCGTCCACGATAACGTTTTTTTGCGCGAGATCCAAGATTTCGACAGCGCGTAGCAGCGCATCCCTTGCGAGACTCAAAGCAAAAAAAAGAATGACAAGCAAGGTTCGCTGCCAAGAAGACGAGGAGAAGCATCGTCCGCGCTTCCAAGCTGACCCCCACTGCTCGGCCTGGTCGACCCCTCCAGGGACCAAAAGCCGTGCCGCCGTCTCTCACTCCAGCATCATTAGGAATGACGTGGCAGGGTGGGTGGACCCTGGCGATCTCTGCAGCATTCCCCTGGACATAGCAATCGGTATGTGCATTGCGTCCAATGATGCTGGCTTCCCGCCTCGCTTCACTTTGCGGGCGGGATGGTGCGACATGACAGCCACAACCCGCAGCCGCCGTGGTGTTTTCTTACCGAAAGGGACTTGGCACTGGCAAACGCCGCAGCTTGCGCCACAGCTCGCGACGCCACACGGGGGTCTTATGTGCCCTAGGGGAAGTGATCGGCCGGCGAACGCCGTGGCAGCGTAAGAAAAGCCAACCCAACGGCTCTCCCGCAGGCAAAATCTATCAATGGCACACACAAGGCGACAAGCAAGTTGTGATCATAAGCCTCTGGGGAAATGTGTCCTCGTCCGTCAAGCTGAAGAGCATCGCTCTGCCCGCCCTGTTTGCCACCAAACCCACCACCCGCGCCCTAGCAGCCCGGCGCTTCTACCCAACCTATCCCGTCGGCAACCGGCCCCTGTTCATGCGCGAGGCGGACTGCATTCGTCTTTTCTCAATCACGAGGGGCTGTCACCGACGCTTGGCGCAGCGAGCCCACCACGCCCAGGCAACCCACCATCCCACTCCCGACCGCAGAACCCCTTGTTGACCTGCAGCATGGCCATTGTAGAGACCCAACGCGGGGCCTCATCACGAGCGGACAAGCCTTGAAGGCATGTGTATCTGCGCTGGACCATCTGGTGTTAGGTAATGTATGGTGCTCTCAACAGCGGGTTCGCCAACACGATCCTCCCCGGCGTGGAAGTTTCGAGATCATGTGCATTCCCGCGCCGCCCACACTCGCCTCCCCCTGCCCGCCCCGGCCTACTTTAACCCTGCCCGAGTCAATCTCCGCGGAAAGTACTCAAAAACAACGACGACCAAACAGTAAAGTTCTGCACAGCCAGCAGGGTGCCTCAAATGTGCAATTACGTCATTGTCGCATTCCTAATGCTTTTCCCAAATAGGTTAGCGTAACTTGTGATACTGGCTTTTGCGCTCCTGACACACGGCAGCCCGGTTGCGCCGTGCAGGCTTCCCGACAACTTCCGTCGTCAGGGACTGGCTGCCACCACACTTTAGCTGTTCCATCTTCCTTATTCTTCGGATGAGGTAACCAAGCTTATGGTGCAATAAAGCCTATTCCAGGGATGTTTACAAGCAGACAGTGTACTCGCTTAAAGATTCTCGGTTCCAGATAAGACACTCCCAAAGAGATTCTCCCCCGAAATAGCCCGTTCTCAAAGATACCGAAACACCAAAACTCCAGATATGTTCGCTACTGCACCTGCCTGCCATACCTCTTCCAGGGTTATATAGAGAAAGCACCGCCTCGCTTAGTTGCGCATGATCCGCCGAGCGAGCCGCTTGGGCCTGCCGGCGCGGCGGGGGGACGAGCCGTCCTGGGGCGGGGTTGGCAGGTTGTGTGGGCTGGGCTTGCCGCCGCCGTTCCTACCACCAGTGTACGGGGGAGGGGGGTTGGAGTTGTCCACGTCTGTACAAAGAAGAAGAAGTATAACCCTTTGTTAACTTTCTAAACCGCCCGTACCCCACCTATTGTCTTTGGCTCCCGTCGTGGGCAGTCATGGTGGGGTTTGAAATTGAAACAGGGTTTACCTACCGCATCGGCAGTATTGCTGGCATTGTGGCGGCGGGGACACGGGGCAGTCGCGCATCCCCCCGACGCACTGGCAAAAAGGTCGGCAACTGTCCGTAGGAACCGGTGAGCATACCAGCTTCCACTGGGCGGCAACCAAAGCGCTGGATAGAACGGCGAGGAAGAATGCAGGGCGCATGGTGATGGTGTTCTTGGCTTGTTTGGGTTGGTGGGTGGATGAGTGTTGTTTTTGGCGTGATCGATGGCGGTTCCTGATGAGATCGAGTGTATGCGAATGGGGTGGATGATGATGAAAGTGAATATATACCCATCAACACTTGTTATCTCATGTGTCTTCTCTTAATCATTCTCGCCCGTAGAGAGCTGGACCAACAATGATGCCACTGCGCAAAGCACAGTCAAGACCGCAAGGTGTGCTTGCTGGCGCTAGAATCAGGTGCCAAGATTTGCGTGATGGCTGTGCTGCTTGGGAAATTACTGTGCCCTCTTTTTGTCCCAAAATAACTCCTTGCAGACTCTTCGCGGCTATATTCATTCTTGCAGAATAACCGCGGTTGCCGCCGAGGCCATCCGAAGCGGCCAAACCCACTTTCGGCTGTGCTGCTGACTATAAAAGTCCACCAACCAGCGGCTGCTTGAAATCTCTACGTAACGTCCATGTTGGAGGCCGTTAGTAACTCGAGGGAGTTCCAGATGCAGACGAGGGCATTCGCGTCGTTGGCTGGACTTGATGCGATAATTACAGAAGCGGCATGGAATGAATTGTAAACAAGCTTAAAGATTTCAGCATGGCTTCTACTTTTTTGGTCCACATCAGCGTGCGCGTTCCCAAGCTTCACTTCTTAGTCACAAGAAACGAGCGGCAATTTGCAGCCTCTTTCCATGCTGCTACAACTTTATATTGCGAACTGGGCCCCGTGTTGAAACCGGCAGTCCCAGTGCCCTCTGCCTTGCAATCAGCATCCCCTCGTTAAACTCCTGCAACGGGCTCTGGCCCTCCCTCTTCAAGCCAGTCCTGTAATTGACCCAGTACACTTCCGGCTTCAGCCCGCTCCCCGCTGGCGGGGCGGTCGTCTCCTCGAGCACCCACGGCGGCAGCTCGCCCCTTGCCAGGTAAACGTCCGCCTCCTCGGCCATGCCCTTGTCATCCCAGGGCAGGAGCGTAGATGTCGCCACCTCGCGGCCGCCGCGGTTCCGCGCGAGCGCCGCCGCGTCGGGGTGGATGCCCTCGACGGCCCCCGTGTCGCGGTTGCGGTACTCGACCTCCCCGGGCTCGCGCCCCTCCCTGGCCTCCCACGGCGCGGGCACGGGCGCGGGCACACCGCCGGCGCGCGGGTCCTTGACAAAGTCGGGCAGGCCCGGGGCGGCGCCGACGACGCCCGCGTCCTGGAGCGCCTTGAGCTTGCCGGGGTGGAGCCACGAGGTGGTGCGGGTGGCGTGGTCGGCGTGGTAGACGTGCCCGTCTTCGCTGATGCGCTTCGAGTATGCGTAGGGAACGGGGACGTTGGAAAGAGAAATCTTGGGGGCCATGTTGTGCTAGATGTTTCTTGCTTGGGTTTTTTTTCATCTGGGGCGGCTCCCTGGAGGATGGGTTTGCGTAATTAGCGGTTTGTGGAATTGGCGCTTGCAAAGGCAACAGTTTGGGACGGGAAAGAGTCTAGTCCTTTTAGATGGCATCCAGGGCACCCAGCCAAGCCAGCATACGTAAGGCAGCTGACGTTTTTTGTTGCGGTGACAGCTCTTACACAATCGAGCATAGCACCGTGGACCCACTGCACCCTGAGCGTGCCGCCAACCTGCCGTAGCTTGGGCATCTTTTCCTAAGAGGGATGAGGTTCACGGCGTGAAAGGGCAAGGGAGAGCAGCAGATGGCATGCAGTCGCTTATGTGCGAAGGAACAGAGGGGAACAATTTGGGAGAGGAACGCGCACGCACTGCATGATGATCTGGTCCATCCTTCGACCTCTGGCCATCTGGCCTCCCCAAGGCGCCTCCCTCCCTATCAACCCATATTCACCCAACTTACCACTGGACCACCATCCACGGTGTCCCCGAGCGCAGACGCAAGAATCTGCCCGATCCCACATCTCTCTGCGACTTCATTAGCTCTATACTCGACATGGAGCACCTACAGGAGGGGTTTGGTCTCTCTGGCGGTGGCTAGCAGCGACGGGTCCTTGTAAAACACAGGCCTGGCGGCGGGCGCCTGGGACAGGGACATGACAACCAGGTCGATCACAGGATTTGATGCCGCTGCTGCGGCCGCCACGTGCGAGTCATTATCGAGATGAAGCGGCCGTACCAACTTGCCGGACCTAGAGCAGAGCGGCCTAGCAGCAGTGATAGGGGCGACTTGGCGGTCAATGCTAGCTGCTTCTTCCTGCCCGCTCAAGGCCTCGCCCAGATTCAGACGGAGACGGATCGTTTCGGCCCCGATCAAAGGGTACGGAAGTGCCCCTTGATCATCTGTAGAGCCGTTGCCCAGTTCGATATGCCAGCGACCGGACTCGACCCGCGAACCCGACATCTGCCGCCGTCTGTGTTCTACAAAACTCGCATGCATCGCCATCTGTCAGCGTTATCACCTGGGGCGATTCCGAGAGGGTGGAAGAGAAGGAAAGCAGTACTCACTCGCTCTTCGCTCCGCCACCCAGCTCGTCAGCGCCCGCCGAGAGCGCGGCCGCAATTGGGAGGCCAGTCTGCTGAACTTGCTCTTGCTGCTGACTACATTGAACTCGTCCAGTGAGAACTTTCACAGCGGCGCGAGTCCCTCTTCTTCGCCCTCGGTCTGGGTGGCGCCAACGCTCCTATCGTTTTGACCGTCGAACAGCACATCAAGCGGCCCGCTCAGCCGATGCTACATTCCAGCTTTTCTCCGGGAGCGGGTGACGGCGCCAACAGCTTCCAGCGTTGCCGCATCAGTCTCTGTGTTGTTGCAAATCGCCTTGGCTATTTGGACCGGAAACACCGCCGGTTGCGCCTTGATATACTCGGCGAGGGGCACGCCTTCGTGGCTGCTGACCAGTGACATCGTACCTCCACCGCTCCTCCCTACTCCTAGGGTGACTATCCGACCTCTGAGGCGGACGCCACCCAAGAAATGCCGAGTGCTCCATCCACCAGGCGACATGCCACGCGTCCTCGGGCTTAAGCTTGCTGGGGCCAGCACCCACAAAGGTCTCGCGCGGCCACCGCATCTCCCCTTGCCAGCCGGCCCATGAGTAGCTCGCAAACCCCGGCCGGCGCCAGAGGCTCTCCATCGGGACGAAGAGGAGAAACGCGTCCATGAGGTAGTCGGAAATTTCCTGGACCTGACTGCCCGTCAGGCCTGCGGTCAGGACGTGGTCAAGGCCGCCAAAGGCACGGAGGACGTCGGCATCGTCGACGTCGACATCGCGCTTCTCTCGCCGCCGGTACTCTTCCGTCAGGTCCATATCGGGCGATGTGGGCTGTGGGGGTCCGGAAAGTGAAGCTGGGGCCGAAAGATCCGTCCCCTTTTTGAACGCAGCCGGAAGAGGGGAGGGGGGGCTTTGGCCTACCTATTTAATGACAACTAGCGACCCTGGAAACCTGTGCAAACGACGAGCGCCCTTTCAAGCAAAGGAAACAAACCATGCCAGCCACATTTGATCCCAAACCGGCGAGAGGCGCAGCTGGGCCTCCCGCCTTGAGCATACGCCGATGCACTAAGAGGCACTCGCCCTGGGGGACGTCCTCCTTCATTGGGCTGCGAATTCTCGACCTTGGCCTCCAGTACAAACTCCTTTCCGGCGCCTGGTCCGTGCCGATCCTCTCTTGCCTGGGCCTCGCTGTCGCCGCGCCCGTCGTCTCCTCCGCCGCCACCGCCCACACAGGGATTCCCGCGGTGGACCGCCTGGGCCCGAGCGCGCCCAGCCTCCTCCTGCTGGGCATGACGGCCGGCGGGCTGGCCAAGCAGAGCTACGCCCTCCTGCGCACGCAGCTGGAGGAGCTCTCGCTCCCCGTCGCCCTCTTCGGCGTCGGCTTCAACGTCACGTACAGCTCGGTCAACTCGCTGCTCCTGGTCGCCGCCGCCGGGCCCCACGTTCTTGTCCCACTCGCAGGGGTGTCGCTCCCGCTGCCCATGGTCTTGAGAGCCGCCGTGTTCGGCCTGGGTATATTTCTCGAGCTAGGTTCCGAGACGCAGCGCCGTCGCTTCAAGGGCCGCGAGGAGAACAAGGGCCGCATCTGCACGACGGGGTTCTGGAAGCTCGCGCGCCACATCAACTACGGCGGGTATACGCTGTGGCGAGCGGGAACCACTCTTGCCGCCGGTAGCTGGCCCGCGAGCGTTGCGGCCGTGGCGTTCAACGCCTGGGGGTTTATCGGAATGTCTGCCGTTGAGCTGAGCCAGTACATGCTCAAGAAATACGGCAAGCAATGGGAGCGGTATCAAAGAGAGGTTCCGTGGTTGCTCCTTCCTGGTATTTATCAAGTGGTTGAGGGTAAATGCAAGTCTTGGCTCAGAATTCCATGCACTTTTCAAACTACCGCAAATTATTGTTGCGGAATCCATTCCCGGCCTTTGGAGGGGATGACGGGCCACAAACCAGGTCCGTGGGAGTCACCTTGGGCTTAAGGTGTGGTGTGGGCCTAGAAAATCCGGCAGCTCGAAGCCACGGTGGGCCGACTCTGGGAAGATCGAAAAAGGTTCTGTGCATTGCGGAGAAAATCGGTTGGGAGCACTCGGTTGACACCAAGGGAGTCGAACGGAAAGGCAAAGCGAAAGGCGCGGGTTGAACGCTCTTGTATTGCCCAAGAAGGGATGATGCGGAAGTTTGGGGTCCGGGGACAGTTCGGCCAGGTTGTTACAGTGGATCGGGGTCGGCCACGAAAACACTCCCGTGGAACAGCTGCGGTGCAAGGCAGTGCATGAAACTGGATGGCGATATCGGTTACGATAATATCAGTCAAAATGTAATCTTTGCTACTGGAGGTTGTTGTCAGGAGCCTCCCGTTAGTTTTGCTTCTTCGACTGTGGGCCGAAATGTCGGTAATCGAGATGGAGCGGTAGCGCCACCGAGATTGCAAAAGCCTCCTTTGACGGGGCGACGGTGCGCGGCATCCGTGGCTGCCGAAAAAGTATAACTTGTTCCTCTTGGAGAGTGGGCATGCGTAAAAGGGGAGATCGGCTCGTTTTGGGCAATAGACGTCGAACAGCTTGACAGCACGTTTAATCGCTCGAGATTGTCGCGATGCACTGCCGCCCAGCGTTTGTGTACCGCGACAAGACGGCAGTGCGCAACTGCCCCGCTGTCAGTGCTGCCCGCCTGTGCTGTGTTTTTGTGTAACGCAATCCATGTCATTCAAATATAGTGCATCGGGGTAGAGGCTGGCCCACGCGCTTGACATGTGGCTGTCAAGCCCCGGACGAGAACTTTTCTGGATGGATTCCAGATGGGCGGCTGTTATAATCTAGTGGAATGGAGACAGTCAGCATCAGAGTGTCTGATCCAATCGAGCAGCCAAACGAGTACCAATCTATTTATTGTTCCCAACGCAGGGAAACCCGTGTCCAGCCAAACGACGCCAACAGTGGCGGATAGAGTAGACGCTGATGTGGGGGCACCCGTCAAACGCGAGTACCAGGCGCGCGCGGCAAAGCGCATCTGGTGCTGCAGGGCATGCTGGAATCCATTGCCGTGCTGTGCTGGGGCGGCCCGCAAAAATAGCACTTGGTTGGCTGACGTGGGTTGTTGGCAGTCCTGTTACGGATTAGCGCCGAGGCGAACTGTCAGAGATTGACGAAGATCCCGATGCTCATGCTGGCCTGTGCAGGCCCATGTGCACTGCTGATTGGCGTACCTTGCATAGCCCCCAAGGTGCCAAGCTGCCCCTGCACCTGGAAGGCGGGGGGAACCCCTGTTTTGCCAAACCACGGCCGAGGGAAATGAAAAAAAGGGGGCGCGCGGCGAGGTGCCAAACCCTCCCGACTCTGCTTGGGCATCCCCATCACGGCTTTTTTTTGTTTGTTTTTGTGCCCGTCTGGCTCCTGCTTGGGCTTGGAGGAGAGGAACCGCTAATGCCTAGGAGTAGGAAATCGCCTGTGCACTCGCTTCTCCCATTTGCTGATTAGGGCATCGGCGGGAGTTCTGCACAGACCAGGCTTCTGTCCGCTCGCTGATTCACGTCTCGATTGGCATTCCTTGGCGACCCTCCAGACGAAGATCTTCCCTGCCACTGGTCCCCACTCGCGTCCTCGGTTGCCTCTTAGCCTCTATTGCCTCCTTCGTTTCCCTTTTTTCCTCCCCATCCGCATCTGACACGCCTCAAAGGTCGACTTGACGTCGCCCTCGCCATTGTGTCCTGCGCCGTCGCTCTTTGTCCGTCGTCGAGGCACCGCCATTGATTGATCGCTACTCCGTCCATTGCAGAGCATGCGCTCCAAGGCGCCACTGTGACCTCGACCAAACTCCCACCATTCCTTTGACTAGTCGCCGTCGCGCCATTTTCGACCAACGCTCCTTGGAGCACTTTCTTCCATCCTTTCCGTTTCTTCCTCTCCTTCAAGCATCGGCCGTCCAACCGGCCTGACATTTCGTCGCAATGATACCCTCACCATCAATCTTCTCGGCGTTCGCGCTGCTGGCCTCCAGCGCCCTCCACTTCGGCAATGTCGCCGCCCAAACCCATGGCTTAACAGACTGCCAGCCGCTGGTGAAGGAGTGCCCGCCCAACAAGGCCTTTGGCATGGCTCACAACTGGAATTTCAACACCACTCCTGCCGCCTGGGAAACCAAAGTCGGGCCCATGACGTACGATAACCAGAATGGCGCAGCTTTCACCATCACGAAGCAGGGCGAGTCGCCGACCCTCCGCTCAAACTACTACATTTTCTTTGGTCGCGTCGAGATCATCGCCAAGGCCGCGCCCGGCGTCGGCATGATCAGTTCCATGATGTTGCTCAGCGACGACCTCGACGAGATTGACTGGGAGTTCCTCGGCATCAACCAGACCCACGCCTTGACGAACTACTTTGGCAAGGGCATCGAGGATTTCACCAAGGGTATCTATTATCCCGTCAATGGCGGTGTCCAGGCTGACTTCCACAACTACACCACCCTCTGGACCAAGGACCGCCTGGACTGGATCATCGACGGGCAGATCGTCCGCACTCTGTTGCCCAAGGACGCCAACAACACGTACAACTACCCCCAGACTCCCATGCGCATCTCCTTGGGCATCTGGGCCTCCAGTGACCCGAGGTTGGGCAAGGGCACCCAGGAGTGGGGCGGAGGCGCCAGCGATTTCAGCAAGGGTCCCTTCAGCATGTATGTCAAGAGCACGTACGTTGAGGATTTCAGCAGTGGCAAGGAATACGTCTATGGCGACCGCAGTGGAACACACCAGAGTATCAAGATCGTCGCGTAAGTTCTTTGCAATTTATCTTGGTCCGATCAACATTCCGCCCGGGTCTAATGGCTGACTTCGCAAATAGAGGAGAATCCACCGCCAACGTCACCATCATGGCGGCCCAGACCCAGGACAAGAGTATCTCTGAGCGCTGGAACGAACTCTCGTCTAGCGCCAAGACTGGCGTGTACGTGGGTGCCTCAGCATTCGTTGCCATCATCGCCGGCTCGCTCCTCTTCTACTTCCTGCGTCAGCGTAAGCGGGGCCAGGAGGAAGCCAGGCTCGCCGCCGAGCGCGAGGAACGCGAGCGTGTCGAGCTGGAGCAGTACCGCAAGGCCGGCATCAACCCCGACAGCCTTGTGCAGCAGACCGAGTACAACGCCAATGCCCGCGACGACATGGGTAGCCGTGGCGGCGGCAACAGCCTCGACGGCCAGGCCGTGGCGCCTGGAAGTCCCCTGAACGAGAAGTCCTGGGGAGCTCCCATGAACGCGGCGGTCACCGCAGGCGCGGCAGCCGGCGGTGCTGCGGCTGCCAACGGCATGCGCAGCCCCTCTGTCCCCCTCCTCCGTGACGGTCCCCCCAGCCCCAACCACAACGGGTTCAACGGCCAGTACTACGATGGGCAGCCTGGCCAGTACCAACAACAGCAACAGTACGGCCGCGATCTCGCTTCTCAGGGCGGCATGAGGACTTCTCCCGGCCCCGCCGGAATGGTCTCCCCGATGCGCACACCCAGCCCGGGTGCGCCACCGGCCTTTCCTCCGCCCCAGGCCCCCGCCTCGCCGGGCGCATACGGGAACCCCGGACGTAGCTACACGACCCCCGCGCAACGCATGGGGAGCCCCGGCCCCCAAAACGGACCGCAGCGTAGCTACACCAACGACCCCTACCAGGGCCCCGGTGGTGGCCAGCAAGGCAGTGGTGGACAGCAGTGGAGGTAGACGCTGAACGCTCGAGACAAGATCGGACATGGCGCCGGAGTGCAGCGTTCCGGTTAGGTCAGTTTTGACTGGGCTCGTTTTGCACCCCATTATTTCTGGCCACGGTCCCTAATCTCGGGCTTCACTCTCCTCTCGAAATGTTTTTGTGGCTTGTGGTTTGGAGTCGACGTTTTTGTTTGGATTCCTTATTTTTAGCTTCGTACTCTCTTTTATATTGCCCCCGATACGCGTCGCCTTTGCCTTGTTGTCAAGATATCATACGGGATCTATGGCTGGTTGAGCCCCATAGGTCCCACGTCATTTAGCTCGCTGCATAACCCTTTGCATATACCCTGTTTCTTTAACGTATAGTGCTGTTGCTACCTAGGTGATTTTCTCGTATGCACTAGAATATGTCTAAAACTCCCGCTCCTGACACCCTGAAATGACGACCGGGCGGTCTGGTGTCGATCCCAATATTTTACTCCCTTCTCATCACCGCAACTATATCCAACACCCTCCAAGACCATCTACCGCTGTGCCTCCTTCAAGTCAACCCAGAGGTCGGGCTTCATCCATGTCTGGTACGCGTCCATATCCCCCTCGTCCCAGCGCCTCATGCACTCGCGGGCGGCGGGGCCCTCGGCAGGGGTTAGGTCAAAGTGCCAGAGCAGGCGGGCCAGGATGAGGCGCAGCTCCAGGTAGGCGAGGTTCTTGCCCATGCAGCCGCGGGGGCCGGTCCCGAAGGGCCGCGACGCCGCGCGGCGGTCCTCCTTGAAGGCCGGGTCGGCGCCTTCCCCATCGAGCCAGCGCTCGGGCGCGAACCGGTCCGGGTCGGCAAAGTGGCGCGCCGTATGGACGGCGGCCCACGGCGCGACGGCGACGGTGGTGCCCGCGGGCAGCCGCTCCCCCGCGACGACGGCGCCGCCGGCCGGCACGACGCGCTGCGCGTTGGACGGCGCGGGCGAGAAGAGCCGCAGGGCCTCGTCGAGGGACGCGTCCAGGTACGGCACGCGCGCGTGCACAGACTCCCAGCATATGTCGCCAGGGCTCGAAAACGCCGCCCGCACCTCGGCCGCGGCCCGCGCCAGCGCCGCGGGGTCTCGCAGCATGAGGTAGGCCCAGCCCGTCATGGTGTTGGCCGTGGTCTCGCTGCCGGCGCTGATGAAGAGCACCATGTTGAGCACGATCTCGGTCGGGCTGAGGGCGGCGCGCGGGTCGGCGCTGTCGAGTATGTGCTTGATCAGGTCCGGGTGCCTGGCTTTTTCGTCCTTGTCGGCCGCCGCCGCGAGCCGCCGCAGGGTCTTTTCGCGCGAGTTGTCAAAGTGCGCGCGCCGCCACTTCGCCGCCTCGGCCGGCACCACGAGCCGCACCAGCAGCCGGTGCAGCGGCGTGCCGGTGCCGGCGACGCGCCGGATCGCCTGGTCCCACGTCGCGGCCTTGAAGACGCCGATGATGGCGCGCGCCCACTCGTTGGACCGGCCCGCGTCCAGGCAGCCGAAGGGCTCGGCGAAGCAGACGTCGCCGATAATGTCGAAGGTCGTGTACGTGACTGTGGGCGGCTTGTCCTTTGCCAGTCAGCTCTTTCTTCTGTACAGAATCCTAGGGGGCGGTGGAGAGGGAGGTTTGGGCCAAATATCACGCACGCCACTCGGCCAGGTTGACCGCCTCGCCCCTCCGCGCCCTGGCCGTCAGGGCCGCCATGAGCTTGTCGACGTGGAGCTGGAGGATGCCCTCCTGCTGCAGCAGAGCGCGGTTGGTGAAGGGCGCCGCGAGCGCGCGCCGCTGCCGTGTGTGTTCGGTGTTGTTGGCCAGGCTGACGCCCGTCTGCCCGTCGACGGGAGAGACGGCGCCGATGAAGATGGGGCTCTTTTCGAAGTTGGGCGTGGATTTCTATGGCAGTAATGCAGTTTATCAACATCGCCAGCCCCGATGAGGCGCAGGAGTTGGGGCCTGTCTCCGAGGACGGGGGGTTGGCTTACATGGAACCCATAGATGTCATCCCACGCCTCCACGTCGATAAAACTGAGCTCGTTCGGCGCCACCCTAACGATTGGACCTGCGGCAAAGGCGTGTTAGCGGCTTCTCATCGCCTCTGCGCAAGTACAATACCAACCATATTTGTCGTGTAGCTGCTTGTACACCTTGGGCTGGCGTCCTCGAAGCAGCGCCCATGCGGCCGGTATCTCGGACACGCTGTTGAGCCAGGGCCCTGGGTACCGGCGCAGAGGGTGGAAGACGCGCATGCGCAGCACGTGGATGGCGAATAGTAGGAGCGACTAGGAGCTCACAGACAGCGGCTCTCTCCAGGTTAGCGGCTACAGGTGGCCTTCGCAAGGGGCTCTGATCATCACGACTCCTGGGCTTGGGCGGCGTGTGGGCAAGACTTACGATGGATACTGTCGCGTAGACGGCCTGTCCTATAGTGGGCATGGCCGCGCTCTCGAGCAAGTGTAGAAGTCCCATTATGTCGTATCCGCAAAGAGGCGGGGTGCCAAGGGAACTCACTGGCTGGGAAGGTTGACCAGTGCAAGTGGGTTGCGGAACTGGACGGCCTGGGCAGCCCAAATCCACCATCACCAGATATATGAAGTCTCGCCCAAAAAGGGTCCCCACGGCGATATCCACGTCATCATGGCAAAGCTAGTTGCTCCGCAGCGTACGGCTGGCCCGGATGCCCCGAAGCTCGGCCAAGATAGATGGGGATTATCTAGTCGGGTGCCTTGTCACCAAGCTCGGCCGGGATTAAACCAGACAATCCGGGATTTTTTTCCTTGCCTTGTTCTCTCTCTACCCCCGCACCAGGGGGCGCCAGGGTAGCAAATAGCCGACCTCCCGCCCGCCCGCCCGCCCGCCCGCCCGCAGTCTGCATATGCTTCGGCGGGTACACATGCTTGTTTTGTACGCAGGGCGGCACGGCCCACACGTCAAGCTTTCCTTCCGCGCAACCTCCCCCCCTCCGCTTGCTGAGAGTGCGGAAACGATATCACACCACAACCCTACAACGGAACTGCCAAGCCCTCGGGCCGGGCTGCGACGCCGGAAAGTGGGCCTCGGGATGTATCAATGCTTGTACTGTCGTCTAGAGCTGTCCAGGGCCCGAATGGGGGCAACACTGCTGTAGGAGGGTTAATGCTCAACGCGCCACGTCACCTGAAACCGAGCTTTATTCAATGAGCTTTGCTAACCACACTGGCACATACGACCATACCCACTGGAATATACGGGATCCCGTCCGCTCTCCCCT